TTTTTTTTTTCATCTCGGTTTTATATGCATTCGTCACCTTTCTCACTTTGATATCTCCTCGAGCTGAAATAGGAACCTCTACGCGTCCTGTCACCGATGATGGAAGGGAAGCGGAACGCCTTTTGAACTTTATGCTTTCGAAAGTAATGCCACTTCCAAGTTGGAAGGTAAATAAACCGGGAAAGCCGCGTTACGGGCTGGATGGCACTTTTTGTCAATTTCGGGATATCCGGAATCTGCCCCTCAAGAAGTATTGCCCTACTTCTTTTTTCTACTAGGCTTTTCTTTTTCTTTTTCTTGTCGTATTTTTTCTGGCTCCTGAGTTTCTCACCTATGATTCAATCTTTGCAGCGTAAGCCGGTTTAATATGTATATACTAAAGGCAACTAAAAGAAGAATACCAAAATATTTACCTTCATAATGGTGGCCCTCGTTATAGTTGAAAGATTCAGCTCGTTGACAGTGTTGATAAGTGCCTTCCATTCACAGTGGAATGCATCATCGTCGACCTAGGAGCTCAAGAAACACCAGCCTTTCACAATTTATGCACTTTATAATGTGGTGTCAGATGAACACATCAAAATAGAATTAACCCCCATTACGGAAACAAGCCCTGCCACGGTGGTATAGTGGCTAAAGTACTCGGCTGCCGACCCGCAGGTCGCGGAATCAGTGCCTGGCTGCGGCCGCAGCCATTTTCGTTGGAGGCGAGAACGCTGTAGGCCTGTGTGCTCAGATTTGGGTGCACGTTAAAGAACCCGAGGTGGTCGAAATTTCCGGAGCCCTCCACTACGGCGTCTCTCACAACCATATGGTGGGTTCGGTACGTTAAACCCCACATGTAAATCATATCATCATTACGGAAACAACACAGAAAGACCACAGCAAGCTACTTATTGAAAAATTAGGTGCTGTCGCCGAGGACATTGAACAATGCTCCGCGAACGACGGCTGCTGGACGCCTAGGTCAGGCCGATGATTCCTCCTTGCATCCTTAATAAAGTTTATTACCTAGCTACACAAAAGCAAGCCAATCAGAAATATTGCTTTCTTCATGTTTTTTATTGCAATAGTATTAGATGCAGTGCAGTATGACACTTCAATAACTGCGCTTATGACTGATTGTAAGAACCTGTGTACGCAGCATCACTACTCCAGTGCTACCAGGGCACGTTGCCGCAACATGGCCACGACGATATGGGCTTTTTTAGAGGTTCTTTACGCTGATAAGTGCACTCCCCAGTAATTTTTCTTAAACTATTTTCTTTTTGCTCTGGCGATAAGCTTTTTAATAATGCAGGCACGCAGCCTGCTATGAGAAGGATCAGTAGCAGCCCTAACATGTGAAAGGGCTGTTGATTTGTTGGCACTTTTGCTTCAAAGAGAACATCTTACGTGAGGACATCTCTGGAGAGTGAACTCACACGAGGGCACTTCCATAACCGAACTGCTATGTTGCGTTTAATGTTTAAGGAATGTATATTAGAGAAAATAACGGATTTATAGTTGCGGTGAGAAGGCGAAAAATGTCAATAGCTACTAACTGTGACATGAGGATATCAACTCAGGCAATTCCTTTGTGCACTATAGCCTCCCTGAAGCCTTCAGTTTAATAGATATGACGCGAAATATGGGCTCATCTGCGATAACGATTAGGAAAAACTTTGGCGGATGCCACATACCTTGGGAATCGATGTTATACGAAGCATGCAGAGGGCAGGTGAGTGTGTTGTAGTTTTTTATTGAGTGAAATGTTACGAAATCACGTTAAAGATATGAACCAATGTTGTGCGCACAGATATATGTTTAACAGCCGCATATTTACTGTTGCGTAACGATGCCAACAGAAACATGGGTATTAGCAACACCAGTAGCGGTAAGCTAATGGGTAGCGCTTGTGCCCGCGAGAATGGCGGCCCTGCACACTGCTAGGTAAGTGAGCTTCAGTGGATGGCGCTTTCCTAGAATTGTCGTTAGCACGACGTGATGCATGGCTGTATGATAGCAGCATTGGTATGTACTGTTTATAAGATTGGATAGCCAGCACTGCAACCACAATTGGCGTTTCATCACAATTGTGACGTGTTTGAAAATCAGTTCCGATACCTGGCGTGGCTCTGTGGTAGAATACTTTCTTGATTTCGACGCAGAATGATGGGGTTCAATTTCTGCTAAGGCCTTGATACTTAATCTATTCGTTCATTGGGTCAACGCTGTCGATGCCAGCATTTCGGGGCGAGCTCCTTGGGGCCGACCTAGTTGGCGTCCATCACGCCCCACAATACTCCAACCGAAACTCAACACATGCGCAACAGAAAGCGAAAAATTATGTGTAAACAACTAATTTTATGCGAATCAAATATACGAAAGCATAATCCATCATCACCCGCTCCATCCGCATGGCCGTTCGACCACGCATCTGTCCGTCCGTTCATTCGTCCGCGCGTCCATCCATCTGGCTATCCATCTGTCCATCGGTCCATCTGTCTGTCCATGCATCCGTTCATACATCCTCCTGTCCGTCCATGCATGCATGCATTCATGCATACGTCCACTTGTCCGTCAGTGCGTCCTACCTTCCGTGCATCCGTGCGTGCGTCCACGTCTGCGTCCCTCTGTGTGCCCGCCCATCTGTTAGTCCTTCCTTTATACTAGTCGGTGAGTTCAACATTGGCATTATGCACCTTTGGACCTATCGCTTCGCCCACTCGTCGTTATTCATTACGTGGAGGTGCACCAATTTTTCTTAATGCTCTCGAATGAAAATTACCAATATCAGTTCATGCCGTTTCTTGGTAGATATTAACAATCAATCACTGTCAGTACAATGCGCTTAACTACAGTGGATCTTAACACGACGTGATGGCTGTATCGTAGGAGAATATATGTAATATTTATAAAACTGTTCCTCATCACTGCATCCGAAATGAACGGCTCATGAAAATTACAGTCAATTTGAAAAGCAGTTGCAAGACCTGGCGTGGCTCTGTAGAATACTTGGTTGGCACTCAGAATGCTGGCGTTTGAGTCCTGCTGGGACCCTGACATTCTTTCTTTGCATTCGTCGGGTCAACGCAGCCGATGTCAGAGTTTTTTTTTTTTTGACGCTTACGCTTTAAAAGTACCATGTGTGTTCTCGCTGTCTCTGGGCAGAGTCATCTGTGGTCCATACCCACATACCAGTGGCATATACCTGCCCACGCTTATGTGCTACACTCTGGCTGAAAGTGTTTGATGACGTACGTGACGCCACTGGGACATTATTAATCTCATAATAGCGATTCTAATTCGCCAAATCATCTTATCCTCCCATACTAATTTTGGTTTACCCCAAGGGAAGAAGATAATCACGAGACCACCCAGACGTAGGCAGCTAGATAGATAGATAAGTAAACTGATTGAGTGATATGCGGAGTTTAACGTACGAAAACCACCATATGATTATGACAGACGCCGTAATGGAGGGCTCCGGAAATTTCGACCACCTGGGGTTCTTTAACGTGCACCCAAATCTCATCTGAGCATACGGGCCTACAGCATTTTCACGTCCATAGATAGATAGATAGATAGATAGATAGATAGATAGATAGATAGATAGATAGATAGATAGATAGATAGATAGATAGATAGATAGATACATAGATAGATAGATAGATAGATAGATAGATAGATAGATAGATAGATAGATAGATAGATAGATAGATAGATAGATAGATAGATAGATAGATAGAAATGCTTCGTATTTAAACCGTATTTTGAAGGTCTGTGGCGAAGAACGGGAAAGAAAGCACAAAAATGAAATAGCGCACTAATAGAACTGACTAAACCGCTAAACACAGAAAGTTTGCTGGCGAATTTCAGTGTAAAAAGTATTAACCCACATGCCAGACATACGGCCGGAGTAGAATTTGAGCTTGATGTCAAGCAGGTAAATCTTGTTACGAAGGGTATGCTTGTGGCATTCAGGATAAAGTTTGGAGAATTGCTGAAGGTTAGGTAGCAACATATGCTAGAAAGTCTGATTGTCGTGCGTGAGTTAGCCATATCTTTGCTCGGGAAAAATTGTAACCGTAGTTATTAGCGCGTTCAGAGCTTCCACTGTCGTATTGGATCTCGACAGTGCCCCTTAAAAACACCTGTGTTGTGAACTGTATGGTCTGACTGATTTGATATGTGGGGTTTAACGTCCCAAAACCACCATATGATTATGAGAGACGCCGTAGTGGAGGGCTCCGGAAATTTCGACCACCTGGGGTTCTTTAACGTGCGCCCAAATCTGAGCACACGGGCCTACACCATTTCCGCCTCCATCGGAAATGCAGCCGCCGCAGCCGGGATTCGAACCCGCGACCTGCGGGTCAGCAGCCGAGTACCTTAGCCACTAGACCACCGCGGCGGGGCTATGGTCTGACTGAGATGAAAGATTGCTGCGAAGGCACGGAAACAAATGTGAGCTAATACGAGGGCTTCGCGGGGAGCAGGTCAATATCTTGGGAGAAAATTTACTCTGAGTGGCTATGAAAGAGGAAAAGGAAGAGAAAAGCGCTATCCCGTTACTGCCTCTCTGAATGAGGGCACCTCCACAGGAAAGCGCAGGGAAGGGGGAATGGGAATGAAAGAGTCAGAAGAGAAGAGGTAAGTATAGAGTGGTGAAATGCATTCGATCACTGGCCCCGCGCGCGCGCGCAAGAAACAACGCAGCACACGCAACCGAGCGAAAGACCGCCGAGAAGCCGGAAACGATGAATGCGCCCAAGTAGTGAAAAAAAAAAAAAACACACACAAACACACACAACACCGAACAGGCAAGAAGTTTGGGCGCTCCGCAACCACGAGGGAAGGGGAGAGAATGTCCGCTCCGACGGAAGAGGATCCACAGGAGAGAAGAAAAAGGCCGTCAGGCAGGTGGGAGTGGCCTACGTCAACAGTCACGTGGGGTTACAAGGGGGCGTGGCGCGCGGCACAGTCAACAACGACACGTGGGTTTGTAGCGGGCCTCTTTAGAGGCGCGTGAAAAGGTTCGCGTCGCCAAAAAAGTCAAGGAGCGCATAGAACGCCCGGCGACGTGTTGCTACGTTCGCCGAGGGGAACAGCAAGTGTTCTGCACTCACGTGTGGCAGGCCGAGCTTCCGGTAGCTGTTGCAGAGACGGCGACGGATGTCTGCATATCCCGGGCACTGGCACACAATGTGTTCAACGGTCTCCTCTGCCGGACACTGCACACACGAAGGGCTGCCACTGCCACGCTGTTTTGAGAGCAGTTGTGCTGTTCGGCCGCATCCAGCACGAAGGCGCAGCAGGAAAGCGCGAGCACGCCGACCGATGCCCGTTGACGGCAGGCGGGGGACAGGATTACCGGCTGCTGTGCGGGGGTCCGGGTGAAGAGCGCGGACGTGGCGTGCGATTATGAGTCGCGCCACATCGTAGTCCCGAACGAAGTTCGTTGTGGGCGTGGAGAGGTCGTGGGCGTCCCTTGCGAGCTCGTCGGCTTCCTCGTTGCCGCGCACTCCGACGTGTGAGGGCACCCACTGAAAAGACACACCACACCCACTGCGGACGATCACGGTGAACTTGCGCGTGATGCGCTGCGCGATCGAAGAGCCATTCTCGCCCCTCGCAAGGGTGAGGAGGGCCGCCCGAGAGTCACAAAAGATGACGGCCGAAGACGGGAGGAGCTCTGCCAGCTGATCGGCCGCTAAGTTCAGAGCCGCGAGCTCAGCGGTCGTCGATGTCGCCGGGAGCGGAAGACGACACTTCCTCTCGTCTCGGAGCGCCGGGATGACGCTTGCAGCAGCAGCCGATCCGTCCCCCTTCACCGAGCCGTCCGTGTAAACATGGAGATGGCCGGAGTACCGCTGCTCGATCAGTGCACAGGTCTCCTGTAGAAGGGCAGCTCGAGGTGTGTTCCCCTTGCTGCGTACACCCGGAACCCTGGTCGAAATGGGCAGCCGGGAGTCCCAGTGAGGAGGGATAGGCAGGAGGCCTGCGAATGGAGCTCCCGAGATGAGGCTGGCGTACTCCAGTGCGCTGCGGCCCATACCAGTGTCGGGCAGCGATAGCAGACGATGGACGAGTGCCTTTCCCCCTCGCGTCATGTGCATGCGCTCGATGTGACGCAGAGCACAAGCCTTGGCTCTGAGCGAGAGGGGAAACTGGCCCGTCTCGGCATAGGTCACGCCCACTGGAGACGCGCGAGGCATACCAAAGAGTCGGCGCATGATGCCGCGATGAGCCGTCTCGAGTGTTTCCCACTGATTCGGTCGCAGGGAGATGCAGGAGAATGCGTAGAGGGCCCTGGCTCCGGCGACGGCGTTGTACATCCTCAGGGCAATGTCTGGTGAACAGCCTTTGCCCCTCGCGAGGAGAGAGGATGCCGCTCCTGCGACTCGGCGACAGCTTAGCCGGTGGCTGGTAACGGCTGGCTTCCAGCTTAGGCGGTGATCGATCGTGATGCCGAGGTATTGCACTGATCGTCGCCACGGCAGAACGCGTCCCCGGAACTTGAGGCGGCCGACCTCGTATCGCCCCTTGAGAGTTGGGTGGACGAGAAGCGCTTCCGTCTTGGCCGTGGAGAGCTGAAGCCCGATGCTCGTGATGTAAGCATCCACGGCCAGTCAGTCAATGAACTTTATTTACAAATTGTCCTGAGGAGCCGATTCCCCTCAAGAGGGAGGGTCGGCTGCGGGCCGCACCCACGTGGGGACAGGAAGAGCGAGCCCCTCCGCCAAATTGCGGGCCCTCTGGACAGCCCGGATTTGGACCTCTCGGTCCGAGCTGGTAATTGCCGTCCTCCAGGCAGCTTCTGTGCTGAGAGGCTCGCCATCGCGCAGCGCCGCGCATTGCCAGAGCATGTGGGGTAACGTGCAACGTCTCTCTTCGCAATGAGGGCATTGCGGCTTTATGCTGTCGATAAACTTGCTGTACACTAAAGGCGACGGGTAAGTACCCGTTTGCAGCATTCTTAAAGTGACTGACTGGGCCCTAGAGAGTTGCGGGTGCGGGAGCGGAAAGCTACGCCTGGCCAATTGATAATTTTTGCAAATTTCGTTAAAGGTGAGGAGCGAATCAAGCTGCCGGATGCCATCCCCAAAATTAGATGCCGATTGCCCGTCACGGTGGGACAGTTCGCGTGCTCGGGCATGGGCAAGCTCATTGGCATTGGGGATAACAGGGTGGACATCCTTGCCCATGTGGGCAGGAAACCAGGTGATGTGGCCGTCGATTTCCGTGCAATGTGGTCTTTTGGTAAGAAGATGGGCCGCCTGCTCACAGACTGATCCGGTCATGAACGCTCGTGCAGCAGCTCGAGAATCAGTGAAAATGCGCGTGCGCATGGGAATCGCCACGGCCATTGCTATAGCAGCCTGCTCTGCCCTAGCCGGCGTGGTATCTCGAAGAGATGCTGCTGTGAGGATTTTACCGTGAAGGTCAGTGACCACAGCCACGAAATTGGATGTGCCGGGATACTGTGCTGCGTCAACGAACGCCACAAGTTCAGGGGTGGCAGCGGCGGAACTGAGGAGTGACCTAGCCCTAGCGGCCCGGCGGCCGACATTGTAGAGAGGGTGAACATTTCTAGGAATTTGTGAGACCGTAATCTGCTCCCTCAATTTGGGTGGAAGCTGTATCTTTTTGTCTGCTACCATAGTTGGTTCGCAGCCCAGAAACTCCAGGATGCGTCTCCCAGCTTTGGAAGAGGACAGTCGTGCAGCTTGTGCTGTTTGTTGCGCTTCTGCAATCTCACTAAATGTATTATGCATACCAAGAGCCTTGAGCTTTTCCTCATTTGTGTTGTTTGGAAGGCCCAAGACCCTCTTAATGCACTTTCGAATAATCGCATCCAGTTTCCCTTGTTCTTTCCTTTCCCACCTATGCGCTGCGGCAATGTAATTAATGTGACTCATAAGAAAGGCATGGAAAAGCCTCATGAGGTTGGCCTCACAAAGCCCTCCACGCCTGTTAGACACACGAAGTATAAGCTTGACCATGCTCTCCGCCTTTGCCGCAATACGAGTCAGAGTATGAGAGTTACTTCCGTGCTCCTCCAGGAACATGCCTAATATCCGAATTTTATTGACACGGGGGATGGCCTGCCCTGACCGTGTGTGAATTTCGATCCTGATCTCTTCCGGCGGAAATGGAATAGTGGTGAACTTGCGTTTCTCCGGCTGTGTGTACAGGAGGAGCTCCGACTTGGCGGTCGACAAGTGCAGCCCCGTGCTATCCAAAAACTCCTCCGTGCACCTGAGGGCCTGCTGGAGGGACTCCTCAACGTCTCCGTCCCTACCCCCAGTGCACCATATAGTAATATCGTCCGCATACAGCGCATGTCCGATGCGGTCGATACGAGAGAGTTCGAGCGAGAGTTTCCTCATCGCGATATTAAAGATTAGCGGCGAAATGACCGATCCTTGAGGGGTTCCCCTAGGTCCAAGGTGAAATTCCTTGGAGCAGAGGTCCCCGAGCCGAATGGTGGCAACGCGATCCCTGAGAAAAGAGCGGACGAACCCGTAAAAGCGGGCCCCCAATCCCAACTCAGAGATCGAATCCAGTATGTGAGGATGTGAGATATTATCGAAAGCTTTCTCCAGATCGAGTGCAAGAATCCCTCGGACATCTCTGGTGTCTATGTCGAGAATTTGATGTTTAATCATTTTCATGACGTCCTGCGTAGAGAGCGCGGGACGAAAGCCAATGAGATTGAAAGGGAAGAGCTCGTTTTGTTCAATGTGATGGGAGATTCGGTTAAGGATTGCATGCTCCGCGACCTTACCCACGCAAGACGTGAGCGAGATCGGTCGGAGCGTGCCGAGCCCGAGAGGTTTACCAGGCTTGGGAATGAGGACGACAGAGGCCGTTCGCCACTCCTTCGGCACCTGCCCCGGCTCCCAAACCCGGTTGACCTCGTCAGTTAGTAGCTCAATGGATCTATCGTCCAGATTTTTAAGTAGCCTGTTAGTGATACCATCCGGCCCGGGAGCCGATTTTCCATTGAGATCAAAAAGGACCGCCCTGATCTCTGCCGTGTTGAAGGGGGAGTCCAGCTCCGCATCCTCCAGACCAGAGAAATCCGGGTAGTCTGCATCCGTGGTAGCCCCCAGGGGGAGGTACCTATCCGCCAGCTGTTGTAAGATTTGATCATTGGAGAGCCCAGCAGACCTCTCCTTGTGAATGAGCCGATCAACAGTGTGTTTCTGATTAGCTTTAGTTTGCTTATCTCCCAGGAGGTGCTTGAGAATGTTCCATTTCGCCCCTGACCGCATCTGCCCATCGACATCGTTACAGACCTCATCCCATTGTTGTCTGGCCAGGGTTTGGCTGTACGATTCAATCTCCTGTTTGAGCAGAGCAATTTTCTTTCTGAGCCGCCTGTTGAGTCGCTGCGTACGCCATCTGTTAAGTAAGGAGTTTTTGGCTTCAAGGAGCCTCGCTAGGCGGCTGTCCATGCGTTCCGTTTTAAGATCCGTCTCCACCACCTTAGTGGCAGCTTTAACATCTGCCTTAAGACGCTCAAGTAGCTGGCCAAGGTCATCGTACTCTTTTTCATCGTTTTGTCTGAGTTCCCGAAAGGCATCCCAATCAACAATTTTGAAGACCCGCGGCGGCGATGCTTTAACATCGAGGGAGATAGACGCGATGAAATGGTCGCTCCCCAAGTTCTCATGCAAGTTCTGCCAGAAAGGGCACTCGACGTTCCTGACAAAAGCCAGGTCCGGCGTGGTGTCCCTTGCTACAGAGTTGCCGAGACGTGTGGGAAAGTTGTGATCAGTAACTAGTAACATATTAAGATTGGTAGTATGCTGCAGAAGCGCCCGCCCCTTAGCCGTATTATTGATATAGCCCCATGTCTGATGTTGCGCATTGAAGTCGCCAGCAACTGTCAACGGAGCCGAGCCCTGCGATTTTGGAGGCTTTGCAGAGAAGCGCATTAAAAGTCTCCCGAGTATCAGATGGTGAGCTATAAACGTTGAGAATGAATAGGTGCTCCTTAAGCCGAGAGTTTGGGATTAGCTCAATGAGTATGTGTTCCACCTTTAGGTCTGGACGTACATCGCGAACCTCAAAGGAGAACTCTTTGGATATGAGGGTGGCGACCCCGCGTTTTCCTTCCCCCCAGCAGGCCACGGAGCGATAACCCCGGAGGGCCACCTCTCCTTTAAGGGTCTCCTGGAGGAGTATTACGGCTGGCTTATTCTCCTGTGAGCTGACGAACTGCTGCAAGACTGCCTTCTTCCTGTGGAAGCTCGCGCAATTCCATTGCCAAATGACAAATGTTTTATTTAGCTTCGCCATGAATGCTACTTAGGTTTTGCTCCACCACCACCACCCTTGCAGAAAGAGACTGGATGACAGAGCTGACACCAGCGATGGCCTCCTTAATTTCATGGACCACCCCCATAATTTCCTGTTTAAAGTCACTGAACTCCTTCTCGATATCTACCGGAGGGTCAGCGGCTTTTCGCTTACCGCCTCTAGGTTGTGCCTCGGCCTGCTGCACTTTCACCGCCCCTTCCGGCGTGCGTTCGCGCTGCCTAAGCTCCTCAACTAATGCTTTAATCTCCTGAAGCTCACTCCTCAGAGTTGCATTCTCACGCTCTAGCTGCTGTATTCTAGCCGTAGCTTGCTCTGGCAACTGGCGCTGCACGATAGTGCGAGACTCACGTTTTGGGCCCACTCGTTCAGCCCAGGTAGGTTCCTGCTGAATCCGGGCACAGGAGGCAGACCTATCCCTCGAGCGAGAGCGGTGACCCGCACCCCGCCCAGGGTTATCAAGGCCACCCCCCTGGTTGAACCCAAGCCCGGGAGCTTGCTGTGGCACGAACTCCACGCGCTGCTTGTTTGCTTTCCTCCGTCGTCGCCTTCTACGCCGAACGATGTAGGGAACCTGGTACCTGCTTTTGCAGGCCCGATCCGCCGTCGGATGCGCTCCTCCACAGATAGAGCACTTCGGCTGGCACGTATGATTCTCATGGGGCGATGAGACCCCACAGTCCGGGCAGGTGATGACTGTAGGAGTGGGACAAACGTCCGAGCGATGTCCCAGCTTTCCGCAGGTTCGACAGGCGTCGATTTGTCGTCGGTAGAGCGTGCACCGGATCAGGTTCGTCCCACACATGACGTAGTTTGGAACTTTCATACCGTCAAACAGGACGATCACCGTGGGCGTTTTCTTGATGCGCCGTACTCCAAGAACCTTCGGATTTCTTGCGTGCACGAAGAGCTCACGTAGCCGGTCATCAGAGAGCTCAGGGTCTATACCGCGAACAACTCCTCTGCACGTATCCCCGGGTGGCGTCACGTAATTAGAGACTTCATGGAGCGTTTCTCCCACTCGAATTTGCTTCACTTTAGCGTAGGCTTCTGCGTTCCTAGCGTGTGGCGTGCTGATCACAAAAATGTTCTGCATTTCATTGACACAAACAATATCTTCCTCAGCCTGCGGCGGGCCGAGACAAGCAGCCATCACCAAAGCTTGGGTAACCTTGATTCCACTGACCTTGCGCACATCCATGCCTCCCTTGGGACGTACGACAACCCGGTAGTGATCTTTAGGCAATCGCGGCAGGCGCGACGCGGCGATGAGCTTGTTTATCGGCCCCTTCGGGTGCGCTGGACGGGCGGCACGATGACCGGCACTGGGGCCAGGGCTGTCGCCGGGCGTAAAATCCTGACGCTGCTTCTTCCGAGAGTGGGCAACAATCCATCCGGAGGCTTCATCTTCCTGCCTGGAGATTTCTTCGCCGAAGACCATCTCCTCGAGCGGCATCCTCGAAGCGTCTCGCTCGGCAGGCCGAGCTGAGCGCCAACGTGGCACAGGGTGAAACACCCAAATAAAAGTTCGAAAGCTTGACCTACCCGCAAAAGTCGGGTATCCACTCGATCCTTGAAAGAAACTGGATCAGATGAGTCGAAAAACCGAGGTCGATCGGCAAATTTGCGGTCGAAAACATTTAAAAAGGCAGGAGCCGATGCGAGCGCGTCCGGCTCGCGTCTAGCAAGCGGCGTTCCCCCATCCACGGCCTCGAGGGAGCGGTTGAGGCTCTGTCGCACCTGCAGCCCGCGCAAAGTGGGGCCACTCGCAAAGAGGGCGATGTCGTCCGCATAGATGGCAATGCCCACCTCGTACTCCAAGTCCCGCGGAATGTAGTCCACGATGCGCGCGAGGGCGAGGTTGAACAGCATGGGGCCCAAGATGCTGCCCTGCGGCACACCGGCAGTGGACGGGCGAGGCGCGCTGAGGTCGCCACCAATGCGGACACGGAACGTTCTGCCCCCGAGGAACTCCTCGACGTACCCGAGAAGCCTGCCACACACACCCATAGCACGAAGAGCGTCCAAAACGGCCGCATGAGGCAGGCGATCGAAGGCACTTTTGATGTCGAGGAGAACCAAATATCCGGCTTCACCGCGGAGCTTTGCATTCTACAGCGTGGTGACAACGTCGGAGATGCAATCCGCCGTTGACCGGTGACAGCGGAAGCCGCTCTGGACGTCCGCCAGGAAGTTGAGGGCCGCAGCTATCCACTCGATGCGCTTAAGGGCCATGGCTTCCATCACTTTCCCGGCAGATGATGTAAGCGAAACCGGCCTGTATGAGGTCGGTTCCGACGCGGGCTTGCCCTTCTTGCGCACCGGAACGACGATCGCCTCCTTCCACGTCGCCGGAAACTCTCTGTGTTTGGTTTTAGTCTTAATTAAAGCTTTCAGTAAAAAGCAGTTCGCTGGTATACAAGGAAGTTCAATACGAAACGTCTTTATAGAATCTGGAATCGATTTCTTAAGGCAGCTTCATTGTCAGACACCTTGTCACCAATGAAAAAAATAGGCAGATTGCAGCTCTTCCGGGATTCAATATCAAGCGAAGCAGTAGGAGAGCCGTGGCCTCTACCGCATTTTCTAAATTGATTTCAGTGAGGTGTTGCGAGTTCGACCGGCTTCTTTGTGCCCACTGAATAGTTAAGGTCATGTCGTGTGCAGCAACCTTTTTTTCTTCCCGGGGGCTGCGGGGACACTTCCTGAATGCATTGACTATTTAAGGAAAGTGCTTATATTGAGGAAAGCACTGATCTTAATAATCAACAGCACAAGAGGGGAGCGGGGCCTGCAAGGTGATCACCCCTCACCCCTCCGAATACGGTGTTGATCGTGAATTTATTAAACACGTCCACTACACTGAACCCTTAAGCTTATCAGATGCTTCATTCTTGCGACCGTGCTCACACTAAATCGCGGATGCAATATCGAAATTAAACTGCACGCTATGCTGCGATGAAGTGAGTATCATAAGAAGCGGATGTCACCGTGTCTCCCCCGCGGCGGCTGCAGTTTCGATGGTGGAGAGAATTCTTGAGGTCATTGTAATAAACCTTGCGAGGACGTTAAAGAATCCCATGTGGCCAACATTCCCAGAGCCTTCCACTGTGGCGTCCCTGATAACCTCATAATAATAAACCTCATGTATAAATTTTACGCTCAAAATATAACCAACCACTATACATAGCCTTCATAGATTACGAGAAGGCGTTTGATTCAGTAAAAATATCAGCCGTCATGCAGACACTGCGGAATCAGGGCGTCGATGAAGTATATATAAACATCCTGGAAGAAATCTACAGGGGATCAACTGCTACCATAGTGCTTCATAAAGAAAGCAACAGAATACAAATCAAGAAGGGTGTAAGGCAGGGGGACAGAATCTCCCCAATGCTATTTACCGCATGCTTACAGGAGGTTTTCAGAAGCCTAGAATGAGAACAGTTAGTTATAAGAGTTAATGGAGAGTACCTTAGTAACCTGCGCTTTGCCGATGACATTGCATTGTTGAGTAACTCAGGGGACGAATTGCAACTCATGATTACGGAGTTAGACAAGGAGAGCAGAAAGGTGGGTCTTAAAATTAATCTGCAGAAAACGAAAGTAATGTACAACAACCTCGGAAGAGAGCAGCGCTTTGAGATAGGTAATAGTGCACTTCAAGTTGTAAAAACTATGTCTACTTAGGGCAGGTAATTACCGCGGAGCCAAACCACGAGATTGAAGTAACCAGAAGAATAAGAATGGGGTGGAGCACATTTGGAAAGCACTCTCAAATTATGACAGGTAGATTGCCACTATTCCTCAAGAGGAAGGTATATAACAGCTCTATCTTGCCGGTACTTAGCTACGGAGCAGAAACCTGCAGACTTACAAAGAGGGTTCAGCTTAAGTTGAGGACGACGCAGTGAGCAATAGAAAGAAAAATGGTAGGTGTAACCTTAAGATACAAGAAGAGAGCAGAGTGGAATAGGGAACAAACGGGGATTAAGGATATCATAGCTGAAATCAAGAAGAGGAAATGGACATGGGCCGGGCATGTAGTGCGTAGACAGGATAACCGCTGGTCATTTAGGGTAACTAACTGGATTCCCAGAGAAGGCAAGCGGGTTAGGGGGAGACAGAAGGTTAGGTGGGCAGATGAGATTAAGAAGTTTGCGGGTATAAATTGGCAGCAGCAAGCACAGGACCGGGTTAACTGGTGGAACATGGGAGAGGCCTTTGTCCTGCAGTGGACGTAGTCAGACTGATGATGATGATGATTATGATGATGATGATGATGATAAATATTATAACCAGATTTTTATGGGCTGTAGAATGGCTTAGAATACCATTGCGAGACATATATGAGCTAGTATCAACTTTTTATTACAATGTTATACCAAGCGATAGTGGGCCTTACAATTATGGCTAACGTTAGTGGGATATGACGTCCTTCCAGGCTCTTTCTCAAAAGCTCTTTCAACAACTAGCGTAGCTCTGTGGCCGAATACTTCGCTGTCACGTAGAAGGACTGCGTTCGCTTCCGACTATATAGTATGCGATTTTCTATCTTTCTGCCCTTCTAACTTTTCCTTCAGCTATAAAGCCGATGACGTCTGCCCGCGTTTGCTGCAACGGAAGTGCTATAACGCGATCCCGTTCGGAATTTTAAGATGTGTTCATTGCTGTTCTTGGTCTGACACAAACTTTCAATCTCATGAGACTCAAACCCGATTTCCACGTGCCGTGCAATGCTGGTATGTCGTACGCGACTGCAGGAAATAGTTTTGTGACGTGTACGACATCTATCTTATGCTACTCTTGTTCATCATATTCAGCATGCACTAATACCCTCGTATGGATATTTTAGTGTGTGTCAAGTTAAGGAGACGGACATATGAATGCTCAGATGTAGGTTACTCGATAGATAAACAGATATCTAGGTAGAAAGAAACGCTCAAAGTGCCTTAGGTTTCCAATGAAAGGTCTCACCTTAGAAAACAGCTTTTGAGTTAATCCTTCAGTAAAATAATAAAGGACGAAAGTTAGGGCAACATCTGTCTGTTAAACTTGCAATAAGAGAAGTTTTGATCAACAGCCATAAGTAAATTTGCAAAATAAAGGAAAATTTTAGTGTGAAGCCAGAGATATTTTACTCACAGCCAGCTCAGGTAAGTCCCTTACCATTGGCTAATGATGATTTTAGTAGGTGTAAGTAGTGTTTAACAAATATATTGCTATCTGTTGTTGCACAGACTAATAAAATAAGGCATGTACCGCTACGCATTTCTCTATGCCCACTGAATGCTGTGCGCATTATGGAAACTTCCTTAGGGCAACACATCCGCCACTTTTGCTATGCTCTCTTTATTTCTTCATACTAATTACTGTTTTTTTATTTGAGTAAAAAAACTTCTTTGCATTCACTTCAGTTGTATGCTTACTTATTAGGTGGTCTTGAAAAACATTTTATAGTAACGGACATCTTGAAGGTGCACTTGCACTAACTATACCGCTGCCCATATTTTGAAATGTATGACAATGTATTATGCAAGGTATGTGAGTAGAGCATGGTCCTATCTGCAATTTCACAAGCCCACACTGCCACCAGTGGTTCAGTGACAGATACCCCATATGCAGGCAGATAATTACTGAAAAAAGCAGTTACCACCCAGCCTAATAATTTGCAATAAAGGGGCCATCTAACGCTTGAAAACATCGGTGCCGACTGCATAACTAGTAGTGGTGCTCGCCAGAACTACTGCGAGTGGAAATGACGCCGGAAGGTTGCCGGCTTATGATTTGATAAATGTAACGTTAAATGTGATCGCGGCATTGCATCAAAATAGGGATTACTGTTGAATTTTTTTTATTGGCACAATTTTTCACTCAAGGCGACAAAGAATAAAGCTCTCCGACGTTTCCAGATTGAAAACTGCAAAGCTGGTGAAAGAGTGCACCAAACGCCATGTGCTGGAATAAACGCGCCAGCGACGCTCCGAGCGCCACGGTTTGTAGAAACTAAAAGAAAAAAAAAATGCAAGAGCGTTCATATATATTCGTCATTCAAAAAAGAAAGATAAGTAAAGCTACAAAATATTATAAGAAGCGTTTGTGAGCTGGCACGTTTCGCACGTGTCGTTCCCTCTTAAAGTACCACATTGTTTGTTACCATCGCAACGGTGTCCCTAATACGCTTTACGTAATAGGCAATATGTCATGCAAGCCTCCTGTACGCTAGGGCTGTCAGTTCATTTCATTGGGCAGCTTTCCGACGTCAGAGGGCGAGAGAAACACGGTTAGGTGTGTCCGCGAAAATCGAGTTGAGGATAAGCAACCAATTCAATGTATTTTGACATCTCTGCGCTGAATAACTTTGCATTGCATGGCCCTATCGCTGATGTTCTTACGTCACTTATCTCTTAAGCCGTCGGTGTACGCAACCAGCAAGAAAAACATGTAAAACTATGAAGTTGTGCAAAGTGTTAGAGGGCCCCTTTAATATTCACACCGACACTTGAGTTCTTTCATTAAAAACGCTCGGGCGACTTTTAAACAAAGGCAATCGTTGAGCGTACTTAACAAAGGCTGGCCATTCACTATAACGTACAGATATAGTTTCAGTAATGAAAATGCATCACATATTTATTCTGTGTTTCAGCGCTTTCAGAAACAGCTTATTCGCGAAATAAAGATACAAAATAGAAAGAAAACATTCATCTTGCAAAGGCAGTGCCTTTCACTACAAGCTCCAGCAGATGTAAAACGGTGTCAGCATCGTCTAACTTTATATGCTGGCTTCTGTTAGTTAAAAAGAAAGAAATACTACAACATCCAAGCAATGAAAATATACCCGGAAATGTACCCACCAGAACAGATCTTGCACAATTCTGATGGGCCAACGCATTCAGCACTCACCTCTGTCTCGGCGTAGGAATATGACAGCGCATGACTGCGTTGTTCATACTTGCTAAAACGAGCACGACCGAAGACAAAACCAGTGTCTCGAGCGTTTCATTTTCAATGAAATTGCTTTTGACAAAAACAAGCGAAATATAGGATAACTGGTGCTCATTATAGACATCATTTAAGTAACGTAAGCAACAATTTGAGAACAGCCTCACTCTTCTTCCATGACTCACATCAGCGCATGATTCATTCCTAGCAAGAATTTAGATGCGAATATTTTTTGGTAGAAGTTCGTAACCGAAATTCACGTAACGCCACATACATCTTCATATCCATATTCA